TTTCCCCCCCCCCCCCCCCCCCCCCTGCTAATTTCTGACAAGTCCCTTACAATGTACTTTACGCAGTTTTTCCCTCAACCTTGAAGACTGTGACTACGAGCAAAAATTATTGATTCCTCATGCCAAAAGTATCCCAGCACTGCAACACCACCGTTCTCCCCTCGGGGTTTCCCTAATAAGGTTAACCTGGTGTGGATCTAAATCCAATATCATATTTACGCAACATGCATATGTCATATTTTTAATTTTCTTTTTATCCTTGGCTCTTGGTAAAATTAATAATCGTAGAATTCATAAATGCCCTCCCTCTCCTTAGCAATTTTTATCAGAAGCAATCAACTTCAATTCTTGCAATTTGATTTCTCTTCACAGATTGAGGCATTGAGGTGGGTTAAAGCCAATATTGCCCGTTTTGGAGGTGATCCCAAAAACGTGACTGTGTTTGGTGAAGGTACAGGAGCAACAAGTGTCGCCTTGCATTTAATCTCGCCTAAATCAAAAGATCTGTTCCAAAGGGCCATGATCATGCAAAGCGGTGCCGCGCCAGCTCCCTCTCTACCAAGAAAGGCAGCAAACGAGTCAGTACAAAAGCTAGCTGCTGCTGCAAACTGCTCTTTCGACCACAACCTCATCACCTGTCTTCGTGAAAAAGTGCTGAGGAAATCATTCCTTTGCAATCTAATATCCCTACCAAAGCCCTGATGGAACTCAGCAACCCAGTTATTGATGATGATTTCATAGTAGACTCTCCTCAGAAGCTGTATCAAAAGAAAAACGATTTTGATAATGTTCAAATCATGGCCGGATTTACAACCCACGAGTCATCTCTAGACGTCTTTCTGAGGCTGGGGAATGCCAGCCAAGTCTCTAAAGAAGAGTTTAAAAATGTGACAGGAACACTCCTGGAAGGACTCACACAAAACAAAATCGTGGAGCAGCTGGTTCAGTACCAGTACGCAGATGATTCTGACACAACAGCAAGACACAGGATGATTGACTTTCAAAGTGACTTTATGACGGTGGCACCAATGCTTTTTGAGGCAAAGGATTTAAGGAAGGTAATTTACAAAAAAAAGTCACACACGCCCAAAACATGTTATGAGCACGGGGCTACTCATCAAAACGGCCTCAAACGGGAGGCTCTGCCCGAAAGGGGAGTTTTTCTGTTGTTTTCAGCCTTCCAGAATATAAAAGGGTAGGGGGTTCACTTGAGTGGAAGGATATGAAACAGTACAGAAATCTGTCACTTCGATATAAAAAGGACCTGAAAGTGTTTAGAGATGCATTTTTTGGCTATGAACGAGACAAGAAAACTGCCGGGTTTAGTGATTTACTCACATTAAAAAGACACCGTGCATTCACAGGTTGGGGGTTAAATGGGATAAAGTGATCAAAAATAGGTATGTGGATGGGATACCATTTGTCAGTAACGGGTGTACGAAAGGGGTATCTTTTCGATCAAAAGATTATATAAAGGGGTAAGGGGTTGGATCCCTATGCGGAGCCTCCCCGTATAAAATTCATGCATTTCACCCATTTACCATTTTTAAACACTAGGTTTATCAACAAGTAGGAAAATGCACAATGACCGACTACATCATTTATCACCCCTTACTTGGTCCTGCCAAGATGTACTCAACCATGCGGGGCACTAACTGGCTCTAGTCAATGTTATTTTCTAACTTTACTTTCCCTAGGCTGGAAGGCCGGTCTACTTTTACGTATTTGAACATCGTCCGGATTTTTCGAAACTTCCCGAGTGGGCTGGCGCGTTTCACGGCGCTGACATTGGTTTCGTATTTGGAGCACCTTTCGAATATTTCATCGCTGATGAAATTTTTCATTCCCAAATATTCTGAAATTGAGAAGGGGCTGAACTTGTACATCATGAGACGGTGGACTGACTTTGCTAAGTTTGGGTAAGATCTAAAACCAGGTACTACAGTAAACCCCCGTTGATAAGAACCTACTTTTTTGGGAGTGTGGCAAAATAGGCTCTTGTATTTTTGGTACTGAAAGTGGCAATTTACGCTAAGTAGGTTCATAATCAGGTTCTATGAAAGAGATAATAGATTTTTCACTACCATAAAAAATTATATAAATTTTTTATTTATTCACACGATTGTACTTTTATAACCCTAACAGAACTGATTGCAGAATTTACATATTCAGTTTAGTAGAGTGTGTTTTTGTTATACTTATAAACTTACAACTAAAAGTTATATTTCTTTGTCATGTTATAAAGTATATATTATAATTTAACAGTAACATGCATGAGAACCTGCTTGACCTTGCTTGTCTAAACAGGTTGTTGTATTTTGGGGTTTTAAAGTAGCAAATTAAGGTTCTTAGTCCACATGTTCTTATGAATTAGCAGGTGTTTACTGTAATTAAAGAGGGAGGGTTAAACCATACCCTATGCCACTTGATAGCTTTCAGGAATAATACATGGATAGATAGATAGACATTTTTATTTAACCATGGTCAGGTATTATCGGCTACAGACGCTGGTTTACACAAAAGCCGTGTATTAAAATACGTAAATATCCATCAGAGTTCTTAGTTTTTAAATGTGGAAAAAATAAGTTCAAAACTGTAATGAATAATAGACAGCAAAACTGCGAGCGCTTAATGCTTTAAAAAGTGCAGTCCTGTAGGGAAGAGCTAGAGTGCCAACCATTTTGCTTTTTTTGTTTATTATTACTATTATTATTATTATTATTATTATTATTATTATTATTATTATTATTATTATTATTATTATTATTATTATTATTATTATTATTATTATTATTATTATTTTCCCCAGGATCGTAAAATCTTGGTTACCATCAAGCTACTCATTTTCTGATTTTGCTTCGTTTTCAGGGATCCTAATGGCCCTGATTCTCCTGTAACGTGGCCAAAGTTCACCAAAGCAAACCGATCCTACCTGACCCTTGACGTGAAGCCCAAGGGAAAACAGAAGTACAGGGCAAAAGAATTGGAATTTTGGAATAGTCTTATCCCAAAGGTTATAAGACAAACTAAGGGACAAAAAAGGAAACTTTGTTCTGGAGCAGCCAAGCACTCAGTCTTTAGTAGAAAATTGTAAAAAAAAATATTTCCTGTAACGAACATACTTATATTCATATTTCAAATTGCATGAAACTTGACTCAACTTTGTTATATGAAGCCACCCGAAAGTTAGTCATCATTATAAGTGTAAGATTTAGCTCATGGTAACCATCGATTTTTGTATTTGAGATACTTCCTAACAAAATCGACACCTTCAAGAATGAATCATTTTACATACAAAAAGAACTAAAAACAACAATAGAAATGTTGAAAAACAGCATATTAATTTTTTTAAATGTGGAATAGTTGTCATTTTCTGTACTTTATACTCCCAAAGTTGTACGATAATTTAATTCATAAAATGGTAGTTTAACTGGTGCGCGCGCACTATGAAATTAAAACCCATGAAAATCCAGTGAAATTTTTCATGGTAATTTCACATGTTTTTCACAGGTTTTTCAGGAGATTTTGATGGGGAATTTTCATTGGTTTTTCATGGGGAACATGCCATGAAAATCTCATGAAAAAAGCATGGAAAAACCCCTTAAAATTCAACGCTTCATGGCCCATGAAAAAACCTTAACAAACAAAAATCCCATGAAAATGCCATGAAATAGAATGAGGCGCGCTTATTTTTTTTCATGGTTTTTTAATGATAATGAAAAAGCCATGAATTAAAAGCTCTTTTTTCATGGTGTCGGAATTTATGGGTTTCTCATGGGGTTGTTAAATTCATGCCCCATAAAAAAACCATGATTTTTCCGTGAATGGTCGAATATTAATGGGTCATGAAAAAATGAAATGGCTTTTGATGACATTTTCATTACCCATGAATTATACCCCTGGCTTACTTTTCATGGGAAAGACAGAGACATGGCCACCATGAAAATTTAGTCTTAAACTACTCTCGACTGTTAAATCAAATACATCACTGAGGATTTGTTGGCTGGTTAATTTGAAGCTATATACACGTAGCAACAACCCTAACCCTAAATAAAAGCTAACCGTTTTTCAAGTCAGTGCTTAACTAGCTTACTATTCTCAGGGTTTATTTAAAAAAAAAATTTTCAGTCTGCACAGTCTACAGTCTGCATTTTAACATGACTGCACTTTAGTATGGTGTACTACAGTGTAAATTTGGCCATTAATGACAAAAAAGGTGTCATTGCAATACAAAAAAACATCTGGAATACATGTACTGTATCTCCTCTCCAGGCTACAATCATGACATACCAAATTTCACCATTGAAAATGAACAACAAATTTCAAGGGTTCCATCCTATTTAGTTTGGACATCACAAGTTTCAATGAAATAAAAAAAGCTCATTTTCAAGGCCAATACAGATGTTTATTTTAGCTAATAGCAAATGAACAGCTGTACAAGACAAATCATTTAAGTGAAAACTAAAGTTGTTGTGTTACAATAACAAAAAAATGTAAATCTTATCTTTGGTCACTGTTGTTGCCTCAGCCATCAGATTCATCTTGTAAGTACAGTGTAGCAACATCTAAACAAAATTAACAGCAGAATCACGTCAAGATTTCATGTAGAATATTTGATCCATCCTTAAATAATAAAACAATGGTTTTGACGATGCAAACCACACAAAAGGATATCATTATTTTTAAAATAATTGATTCATTAATGAAATATATGGATAAGCAGGCTTTGTTAGAAGTCAAGCCGGCTTTTTTGCTCTACTGCATCTAAAATTCCCCTATGTCTTTGGTTTGGTTTGCAAATTCAGCTGGTGGTAAGCTCTTTTTCAGCTGGTTGAACTAGCTGGCAGCCAGCTCTTAAAGGGACTGGTTCACGATAATGCGCATGCGGGCCGTTTGTCTCTTCAGAATAAATTTGTCGGGTCAACACTAAATTCGAAATCGCCATTACCGGTACAATCATTGAAAATCCTTCGTTTTATTCGGACATCCGTCGCTTTGGCTGGTCTAGTTATACTTCGGTAGTGGTGATTAACGTGTGGTTATGTTGTTTGACTGGTTACGTTTTAAGAAGACGCAAAAAATAATGTTTTGATCATGGAGGTTCAGAAGAGCATCGTGGTCGTCCGGCAAAAGGACGTTCTCAAGAGTCTTTGGAGATAGAGAGGCTTAGCCGGTCGATCTGGTATGGTTCTAGGAGTAGTGTGTGGCTTACGAAAAGAATACACGACACTTGGAAAGTGGTTAAAAGCATGAGTTCATTTAACTTTGATTTGAGTTTTGACTCAGAACCTGTAGTTATACCGCATCAGGCCGCGCGATCTTCACCGATCTGTTACACTTGAAATGTTCCTTGTATCCTTGCTTTATGATCGTATATGTTTAAGAATTGATGTTTTTAAAATAAATTATTGCCTGAATATTCTGTTTATAATCTAGTTTCTTTATGCGTTCTACTCGATAACATTTGTTTTGTGGAACACTGACCCGATACAACTCAAATGAATTTGTTAATTTATTTGCTGATAAGCAATTGAAATTTATGCTCAATTAAGGATAATCTTCATACTCATACGTTGTGTGTTTTTGTCACCGGTCGGGCACTATTTGTAGGTATTTCTGGGTTTATATAAGACGAACCGAGAGAACAGTAACAAGATGTTTGTTTACAAATTTTGTTTGCCGATCGGTGACTGCTTTGTTAGCATGGGTACGACCTCGTAAAAATACACGTTGGTAAATGTTTGTTTCAAAGCAGGACAGGGCTGTAAATCTTATTCTTATCGGCTTCAACATATATCTGAGGAGTAGCAAAGAATAAACTTGAATTATGGGGATAAATAAAATCAAACCAAATGCCCGGAAATACTCTCACGTCGCGAACAATGAATTTGAATTTTGTAAATTTACTTGCGTGTATCTAACTCGCTTCCGATTGGTTTAAAAACAATGAGATACTGTCAGAACTCACACATGCGCATTATCGTGAATCAGTCCCTTTAATGACATCCCTGTTAGCCTGTGTACAGACCACCCCCTCCCCTTAGTAAAAATCAGAGAAGAGGCATCTGTGATTCACTGTCGCTAATCGTGTATGGGAATAACTTTGCATAAATTAAAAAATTGTTTCTGCTGACCAAAATTTCCATGGCTCATGTTTCATGCCATTCCAGTTCTCAAAATGTCGATGCATGCGTGTTATTTCCATCGAGTAACTGAGAGAGTGAGACATTTTTAAAATAGGATTACTCTATACCGAGCAAGAAAAATGTTCTTACAAGCACATATTGAAGGAAAAGATCCATGTTCTTATGCAAGCCTTCCCATTGGATACGGGAAGTCATTAGTTTGAAATAAAGTGTTGACAAGTCAGACATGACTCATGAGCTCATGATAGTGTGAAACGTGACCTTAGCATTATTGTTTTGTTTGAGTTTTGATGACAGGCCCTAAAGCCAATCAAAATCCCTCAATTTCATGATGTTCACATTGTAATGATCTACAAATAACAGCCAATCAAATCATTTTCCACATATTTCAGGAAAAATCACGTGGCCTCCAAACACGATTACTGAGGAGAGGGGGCGCTTGTACACAGGCTACATCCCTCCTTACCCTAGCATGATTGTAAACAATCTGCTTTAATACATACATGTAATTTACTGTTGTCAGGTTTGTTGGAATGAATTTTGAACAGTGCCATCAGAGCCAACCATATATAGCACACTGTAGTTCAACTTTTCTATCCTAGCTAAGCCAGCTACAGTAGGGTAGACAAAGATCAACTTCTTCCCCTATTAAAAAAAGAATCCCCTACTTTGAAGGAAAATAATATGCTCTAGTGCTTAATGATCAGAACAATGGAGTAATGGATCAGTCAATTCCAGCTGCGCCCAGCGGCCCTACGGGCTACTGCAGGGCATTTGGCCGCCTTGTCAGTCCCGGGGCTGGGGCATTTGCAAATTTTGTGCTGCTTGGGGGCCGGGCATTTGCCAACCCCGCGGCCATTCCCGAGGTTTTGACACACATGTTGTTTCCTATCAGAATATAACTACACAAAGGATTTTACTGGGAAAGAAAACAGATTGGCTCAAAGGCCATGTAAAGGCATGTTCTTGATTTTATGCATGCATTTCTTCATTGCTTATCAAGCCAGAATTACATAGCGAAATCTGGAGCTATCAAAGTGAATCAACGTTTTTGGTCATTGAATCAAATTTCTGTTGATATTATTTGAAAAGCATCCTTTCATATTTATAAAACTATTCATAAGATAAATTATAACTCTGGGCGCAGATGGAATTCAGGGTTCATACAAAAAATTGCAACCATTTTTCAAGGACTTTTCAAGGACCACATTAGATTTTCAAGGACAACCTACTAGGAATATAATTTCACAGATTGTACAAAAATGCATATTCCCAGTATATTCTAATAAGACTTTAAGACTTTAACTGTTTGCTTCACCAAATTCTCTACATTTTTCAGTTCACTTGTCTTAAACTGATAGTTAATTATTGCATAAAACATGGAGCACTTTATGTAAATGACCTTTACATTCACTGAGCTACGATTTATATTCTGTCTTGGACAACCAAAAAGCATCAAAAAATTCTTTCCAGGCTACTACATTCAAAGTTGAAGAAAATTCAAGCTCTTTTCAAGGACTTGCACAGAAATTTAAGGAGTTTTCAAGGAAAATGAAATTCAAGGACTTTTCAAGGACTTCCCCTAAAATTCAAGGACTTTTCAAGACTGTGCGAACCCTGGAATTGACTGATGCATAACAATTTCAAGGTTTAAATAGAATAGTGAGACTTTTTGTGTCAAGTAAGACTTTCATTTTGGTCACATGCACATCCGGTGTCTAAACAATTTACTTCTTTCATTTCTGTTCTGATCAAGGTTATGACCCTTGTATGGCTTTCCCCGAGTGAATCCGTTCGTCGAAGAAACTGATTTGTCGCTTGAAAAAAAGGATCGTCATGCCCATCAAACATCATTTCGGTAAAAATAAACTTAACAAAGACCATGCACAGCTTCTGTCAC